CCCCCCCCCCCCCCCCAAATCCCACAAAATTCTGAAAATTCCAGGAGGAAAAAAGCCCCAAATCACCCCAAATCACCCCAAAATTCCCAGAAATTCCCCAAATCCCCAAATTTCTCCAAAATTCACACCTTGAGCAGAATCTGGTCGGTGCAGGGGGGTCCCAAACCCCTCTAAAACTACCCCAAAAACTCCCTAAAAACCCCTAAAACACCCTTTTAAAGCCTTCAAAAATACCGAAAAAAAATATCAAAAAATCCCCAAAACTTCAAAATTCTCCAAAATTCCCCAAATCCCCAAACCCCACCTTTCCCGAAAGCCCCAAGTTCCCACCTTGAGCAGGGACTGCAGCGTGCGGAACGGGGACACCTGGAGGAGGTTTCCGAGCAGCGGCAGCGCTGGGGGGCCCGGGGGGAGTCGGGCTGCGATCGCGCGATGTCGCGACAGCTGCGCCAGCAGTGCCAGCGCCAGCAGCGCTAACAGGGCCACCAGCACAGGAGCCATGGTGGCACTTGGGAACACCTGGGGACAATCTGGGAACATTTTAAACCGGGGCAGAGGCGGCACAAAGGGCGAGGGTGGAGCCCAAAGCGTCTGCCCGGACCGTTCTGGGGACAGGGAGGGGACAGCCTAGGGACAGGACTGAGGACAGTCCGAGGGTCTCACAGACTCGGGGACAGGGAAGTGACACCATGGCGACACCCTGAGGACGCTGTGGGGAGCGTCCCTACCCTGTCCCCATGTCCCTCCGTTGTCCCCTCACTGTTGTCCCCTCTCTGTCCCCAAGCCTGTGCCACCCTCGGACTGTTCCCATCCTGCGGTCCCTGTCCCCTGCGGGTGCCCCAGGCCGGGAGGAGGAGGGAGGGGACAAAGGGGACAAAGGGGGGACAAAGGTGACACCGCTTGCACAACCCCGGGGCAAGGGCGAGGAGCGGGCCTCGAGGACACGCAGGTGACAGTGCTGGTGACAAGAGGGACACACACGTGACACCCGTGCCCCGAGGCCCGGGAGTATCCCCAAGTCCCCGGTCCCATTTCAGGGTCCCCCTGTCCCTCCCCTCCCCCTCTGGTCACTCCCCGCTTCGAGTGCAGTCGGAAAATCCCGGGAAAATCTTTGTGATGCCAGAACCTTCATCCCATCCCCACCATCCTTCTCCCGAGATCTTTCTCCCCTCCTCCTTTTCCTCATCCCGAGATCTTTCTCCCCTCCTCCTTTTCCTCATCCCGAGATTTTCCTCCTCCCCATTATCCCGGGATCTTCATCCCCCTCCTCTGCCTTCCCGGGATCTTCCTCACACCCCCGCACTCACCCCCCACTATCCCAGGAAAATCTTTTCCTCCTGTTACCTCAGGAAAAATTTCTCCATCCCAGCACTTTCCTCCTCCACATCTTCGTAATCCTGAAAAGAACAGGCAAGGAGACCAGCTCCTTTTTAATGCCTTTATTGAGGGCAGCTCTAGGTGGGGGAGCTCAACCACTGCTGCTCCCAATGGACAACCCAGAGGAGAAGATGTACAGCTTTGCCACATGGCAGAGCTGGGGCTTCCGTCCTCACGAGAGTCCCAAGGAAAACACTGGTTCCTTGTAAATCTAGGCATTGTTTAGTTATGGCAACAAGGTCTGGAAAATCAGTAAGTTGTGCAATGTTCTCCCTTGCTCCTCAACATAGTTTGGAATCTGGTTTTGTTCCATGGCTCGCTGATTCTATAGGGGTCTTTAGATGTTAATTCCACTTCTCCTGGGTGCTATCCCCCATGGGAGTTGGGCTCATCTACACACTGGGTGCTGTCATCGGTTGCCATTGAGGGGTGACAGAAGCAGCACAGGCAATAGACAAGGCCAGGTGGCAATTAACAAGGTTGGTACAACAACATTGATATTTAACAAACATCACACAACATGAGGTATATTTACAAAGTAGGCACCTTATGGTGACAACATTCTACTGTCCCGGCCATGGGGGGGCCTCGGGGGGGCCCCCCCATTGCTGTCACCGCTGTTGTGGCTGGTGGGGGCCACTGCCCTGGGGGCGACCCCAGCCCTGTCCAGTGAGTGCGGGGTGGACACCCGAATTTGGGGGTCCCGGTTTTGGGGAGGTCCTGATTTTTGGGATTCCCGATTTTTGGACTCCCGGTTTTGGGAGTGTGTCCTGGGACAGAAGGGGCCCAGTTTTGGGGTGTCCTGATTTTGGGGTATTGAAATTTTCAGGGTACCAATTTTGAAAGATTCTGATTTGGATTTTTTTGGGGGTGGGGGTCCCAGTTTTGGGAGGTCCCAGGGACAGGAGGGCCCAGGTTTTGGGGGGGTTCTGGGGACAGAAGCCTGAGTTTGGAGAATCCTGATTTCGGGCAGGTCCAGATTTTAGGGAATCTCAGTTTTGGGATTTCCTGGGTTTGGGGTGTCTGATTTTGGCGGATTCCTGGGGTGTCTGATTTTGGCGGATTCCTGTTTTTAGGGGATCCCAGTTTCAGAGGGTCTCAGGCTCAGGAGGATCCCAATTTTGGGGATTCTCGAATTTGAAGGATCCCAGTTTTGAAGGATCCTGATTTTGCAGGCTTTGAAGGTGGTGCAGGGGTTCCTGGTTTTGGAGGATCCTGATTTGGAGGGATTTTGCTTTTGGGGGGGTTCCGGGCTTGGGGATCCCAATCTTGGGAGATCCTGGTCTTGGGGGAATCCTGGTATGGAGGGGGGGGGGGTCTGCTTTTGGGGTTCCCAATTTTAGAAAGATCTCAATTTTAAGGAATCCCATTATTGGGACATCCTGATTTTAAGGTTTCCCAATTATGGGGTTTCACAATTTTAGTGAATCCCGTTTTTAGAAGGCATCACAATTTAGAGGAGATCCCAAATATTGATGCTATAAATGAAATTAGAATTTTCACAACTAGGTCACTTGGTTTAATGGCACTCTCATTAAAAATGAATACAATTTAATAAATTGAATGGTAATTTGGTATAAAAGAATACAGTTTAGTAAAATAATATAATTTAGCAAAAAAACTTACAATTTATATATATAATCTGCCAGTAATTAAGTATGATTAAAGCATAGGCAAAACCGACTGGAGTACAGGGAGGGCTTCTCACCCCACCTCACGTACAAAACAAATCACTTCAAGCTAAACTTATATACTGTATGCTTATACATATTCATTAATGTTTCCCATAAGTTTCCTCCTATTTCCAATTTTTCTGACTTTACCTCACTTTTCAGTGCATGCCTCACTTGTTGTTAGGGGGTCTTCAGTCTTCTTCTGGTGGTCTTTTGGTGAAGGATTCTCCTCTTCCTCGTTGTCCTTTGGATAACCTTACAGGTTTGCACATGTGTACTAATATCCACAGGGATATTGTGGGGATCCCCTGCATTCCATTCCCTAGTACAGCAGCAGGACAAAGTCCTCTCCCAGCCCACGTCTGCAGAAAATCGTGTACAAGCTTAAACAAGCTTAAACTTAAACAAGCCTCCAGGTTTGAGGAGTGCAGTCTGCCCAAAGAGCCCAACTCAGCATCCAGAGGAAATGAACATCACAGATTAATGAACACCAGGTGCACGGGACGCTGTCACCTTGGACCTGCAATTAACTCAGCAATGGAAAAACTCTCTCATGAGAAAGTTTAAAATGTATTAGACACAGTTTCTAGAAGGCGCCACATCATTATTTAAAGGCGCGGCTCGGTTAAAGAGCAATACCAACAAGGCCCACAGACAAAAAGCCGGGGGGCGGGGGGGGATCAGGGTGGGGCTTTTCCCCCTCCCCTCCTTTCAACGGCTTTTGGAAGCGCACTCTGAAGCTGACAAGCCACAAGTGTCCCGCAACGGCCCTCGCCAGACTTGCTCCCGGGCTGGCGCCGCTCCAGGTGCGGGGGGACCGGGGGAGCCACTCAAGCCCCGGACGGAGCGCGGCTCCCGGCAGGAAAGCGGCTCCTCCGGCGGTCGGGGGCAGACCCGGTCCCGGGAGAGCCTGGCCCACACAGCGGCACCAGGCCAAAGGGGCCGCACCAGCGCCGGGACGGACGCAGCTCCGCGCCGCGGCTCCCGCCTGCCGGCCCAGCAGAGCTCACTTCGCCTCGCACGCCTCGCACCGGCGCGGCTCTGTCGCCTCCTGGCGGCTGCCCAGCTGCCAAATTCCCATTGCAACTCAGCAATTCCCCAGGGAATGCCAGGAGCGCTCCCCTGCAAGACATTTGGTGCCAAGGGGCAGAAGTGCCCTCAAATACAGCGGCACCACCCCATGTGAAGCCGCCAAATGCTGGAAAAGCCGGTGTTTTCGTCAATTGAACCCTGGAAACTGAGGCAACAGGGGGTGTTCACGCTACCTTAAACCAATAAAATGGCAAATAAATGTGTTCCACCCTTCAATGTAATCCCCTACAACAGCAGAAAAGGAGGGTTTTTTTCTCAAATTAAATCTCTCAAATGATGGGAAAAAGGGGATTTTTACCTCAATGCAAACCCTCACAAAGCACAGACAACAGGGCTTCCCCCTCAGTTTGAACCTCAGGATGATGAAAATGGGGGAGGTCCCCTCAAATCAAACCCACAATACAGCAACAATATTTTTCCCCTTCCAGTTAAAATAGATCACAGGGATTCCCTGTCAACTGATATACCTAACAGCCTGGAAAAGGCAGGTTTTCCTCCTATCAGTCCTCTCTGTCATGAATAAAATCTCTCAAGAAATCCACCCCAGTTAAAATACTGTGTTTGGTTGTGCTGATATGTGTAAGAGACGGTCCGAAGATTCCCTCATCTGTCTCACAACAGTCTCAAGGACCGAGACTGAGACCCTGAATATCACAAGGGACTTGGTTTGGGGATTTGGGCCTAGCTGAGGTGGATGTTTCCTAAGTGATTGTTTGCAGGTGGTAGCACGGTACACTGCTCTCCTTCCTGCTGGTGAGCAGAGGCTTGTGTGTGGTACTCTGTGCAATGGGTTTTCCACAATACCTTGTCCTTGTTCCTGCTGGTGAGCAAAGACTTGCAATACATGGATCGCTCTGTACCCTACACCTGCTCCCCGTGCAATGGAATTCATCACAATGATCATCAATCTCCTCTGGTTTTGGCCCTGTGCCCCTTGCTTTGCAAAAGACTATAAAATTATACCCCAAACTTACCTTCCTTTGAGATCTCCCCAACGGACAGAAGACTCTGCATCATTGGATGGCTGAGTGGACTTCGACGTTGGTAGCTATAATCCCCTTGCTCTCTTTTCCTTATGCTTTGCTTTCTCCTCTTTTCCCTCTATCGCATATTAGTGATGATGAGCACTCAATGAAGTGTGTTTTGCTGTTTGAGTCCTTGGTTTGCTGATAATCTTTTGTACTCTAAGACCGACTAAAAGAACCACACCATGAATCCCACCTTGCATATCGTGACAATATGTGGATAGAAAAACTCTGTATCTCCCAGAGTAGTTATAAGAATAGGTATGAATTTATTCAGTGCTGAGGTGCATGGGGGATATCAACTCCAAAGGCATGCACACCTCAGAGACTTTCTCCCCTTTTATTCTCTACAAACTAGGGTTACACAGTACACCTAATACATATTCATTTGCTAACCCAGCCTGTCCCTGCTTCGTATTAAAATTAGTTCCATGCCCATTTGCAGCTGCGCACTGCTCCTTGTTGGTCACTCTGGTGGTCTTCTGGGCATCTTTGGGGCTGAAGTCAGCAGTTTTCCTTCAGCTGAACTTTTCACCTTGTCTTCTTGCACATGCTCC